TAGACAACTGTACTACACGATCCACCAAATATTTCCGAATATTAACTGGTAGCAGCGAGTACTAACACTCATTCGGAACGCTTCCAACAACACAGTCAGAATGATCAGCATGAGCAGCCAAGTGCTCATCATCCTCATCATCAGCTAGAACGAAGCAATAGTTGTGGTAGTGCGTTTCGGCGAGGTCTCTCATCGATCGCAATGCGAAGACAGCCATCTGCTTTTAGTGACACTGTAGATGGACGGTTTACAGGTACTCTCTTGACTAACTATGCTGTTGAAAGTGATGCATCATTAATAGCGAATAACGATAAGCTGTCAGCAACTTCAGCCTCAATACCAAACGCATTCTTGAATTTTGCTTCTTGTCAACCTGAAACAACGAACACTCTTTCCAAATCAGCAGTTGCCACTTCAGAGCAACAATCCAGTTCGAGTAATTTGGCATGCGAATTGCGAAGGTGTGGTACGATTGCAGCGGTTCAGTCGAACAGCGCCACTAGTCAACAACATAATACCGCTTCATGCTCAACACCTCTCATTCAGATTGCTGATCTCTCGCCAGACCGATCACCGCTCCGCGGTGGCACAAAAGTTTTGATAGTTGGAGGATGGTATTTACGTGGGCATGATTATACGGTAATGTTTGACGACCAACAGGTTCCTGCAACACTTTTTCATGCCGGAGTGCTTCGATGTTTCGCGCCTCCTCATAATGCTGGTGTTGTAAAACTTGAAGTCTACTGTGATGGGTTGTTGATTTCACATGCTGTGCAATTTGAATATTTGGACATGAGTAGAACCGGTGGCCAGAGCGCTGTTCTGTTAGAAATTAGTGAACGTTTGCGATTCTTCCATTCGTGCATGATTACTGATCGATCGCAGTGTGCTATGCGAGAGCTACCAGAATTAGATACAGAAACGGTAGCTTTGGAGATTTGGAGTGAGATGATGCGTTATCCGTTTGATTATAACCTCCTTACGAATCGTTCAGCCACGATGCGCAACGATAATTCGTTGTTGCATTTATGTGCAATGCTGAATTTCCATCGTCTGATACAGTCCGTTCTTCAATTCAGATCGGAGATCTCATCACAGTACTATATACGTGATTTGGATGTAGTATCGAGAGATGCAGAAGGTCGAACACCACTTCATTTGGCAGTGCTGCATGCTAACCTCAATAGTATCCAGATTTTGATCTCAAATTGCCCCAGCTCAGTGGATGTGCTGGATGACCGGGGTGAAACTCCGCAAGATTTGATCTTTAAGTCACAAAATTCACATATCATCAATTCATACAAACAAACTATTGATACCGTTAGACACCAAGCAAAAGCTAGTGATGACCGATGCGGTCAGTCTCAAGAATCGATCAATTCCACCGCATTGTGGGTGATGACAAATGGTGAAACAGTTACCGATGAGCAACGTTTAGCAAATACCTCCACAATAACATCATCCTCTCGCCAAACAATGCTGCAGGAGAATGGTGGTGGCGATTCATCGATCAAATCGTTAAATGAGTATTCTGATATTGACGATTCTCATCATGATGGTTCCTCTCTCAGTGCCAATAAACTTCATCATTGTGAAAATCTTGAGCGAGGTGGTTGGATGGATGATACGTTGGCTATGGATGTACATATTCCAGATTCGCCAACTACAGCTGACATGTGGAATGCTCTTTCGAGCAGCGATGATGCTACTAGTGAAGGAGCTCGTGCGCGAATGGCAAGTTTAGCGCAACAGATCATTGATGCTCTGCCTGCAAGAATAAAGAGTTTCAATGAAGCAGCTGATCCAAATTTTGTGGATGATGTTGGCGGTCTGTCGGAGCCGTCTGAATCGTCAGGTCTTTCGATACACTCGAGAAATCCTTTTCTTGGCAATGCTTATGTGAGATCATCGAGTGAATGGGAGGAATTGGTGACGCCGCTCGACAACACCACTTATGAGGTTCACGTCTCCGAATTTCATGGACCGTGCTAGGAATGAGGTTTTGATCGCTCATGATGAAGTGGGAGGACCACTGGACGTTTTGAACGCTTCGTCGTCTTCGTCCACTTTTCACACTCTCCCATCTGAATCAATAAACAATCCCACAGAGAGTGCAAATGATCATTCGTCGCCGATATATACATCGCAGAAGAGGCCCTAACCGACTTATTCGAT